ATTACAGGAGAACAGTATAATCAAGCCCCAGGGGTCAGGAGGGCAGCCATCCTCATCATACGCATTGTGTATAAGGAAATAAAGTTACATGACATAGCTGGCCCAATGAAGACTTTGGATATTATGTCCCTGGAGATACAGAAACTAGAGGAGTTATCCTGTGATAATAAATGAAATATCTCTGCCCCAGGTAGACACCAACACATACGCATCCTTCTTGTGATGAGTCTCCCTAGCAAAGAAGTAATGACTCAGTTCCTTTGCTTCACAAGACCCCAGTTTTATACAAGATGACTGTTTAGCTCCCCTTATAGCTTGAGTCAGATACTTAGATTTACTTACTATCAGTTGTCTTGATTCATTAAAAAAAAATCCTAGATTTATCAGGGCATTACAAGGTTCAGTGATCATAGGTGGATTACCTATGTTATGAATCTCCTCATCTGCCCTGAAATATTTACTTCTACATCTCTTCTAGTGAGGATGCTTCAAAGTACATCTGCTAATCTGTGTCATAGTCTCAAGGCATTTTAAGAGATGTAGCCTGCTTCTTCCTGGCAACGTAAGTTAACATCCTTTCTGCATTTTAAAATTATAAAATTTATTTCAGAATCCTAATTTGGAATTAAGTTTGACATTTTGTATAAGAAACATCAAAAGGACCAACATAAAATTGTCAGTCACTGAATAGCAAGCATTAATAATTACTATTATTATAGCTTAACATTAAAAAATAAAACCACAAAGCACATTTTATTTTTTAGACAAAAAAGCTTTGTAACAAAATTAAACCCTGCAATTGATTGACACAAAGCCAATTCTTTTCAGTGTGCCTTAAATCAATATTTGCCATTCTGGTCTATTTATCCTAAGCAAGATGTAACAGTGAATAAACAATTTGTCATAATTATCTGAAACAATTAAAGGGTCTCTGCAGCTCTCTATTGTAACAGTTAATACTAAAGCAGAATTATCCAATTATGATGTTTCTTCTTTTTCACTCTACCTCTTATTTTGTTTCAGGTAAAAGTGTTTCTAGACAGGGATTGTGGGATGGCTCAGTGAGTGGTTAAAGGCAGTTGCCATAAAAGCCTCTGACAGGAGCTTGATCCTCAGAACCTACCTAAAGGTAGAATGAGAGAAGCAACAAAGATGGCCTCTGATCTTTGCTTTCATGTTGTAGTGTGTATACTCACACACTTCCATGGAAATTAAATGCACAAACTTATAGGCAGATATGAAAAAATATGTAAAAGAGAAAAATATTTACCAAAGATTAAAAAAAAAAACTAATTTCATGAGAAACTATAAAGGCTTTGGGTTTCTAAATATACAGTTATAATATATACCAGTATAAAAATATATGCTTTTAAAGAATAATTTCTAATAAATTCTATCATCATATATTTATTTTACAGGGAGATAAATTTCATAGCTATTTCAATGTAAATATATCATGTATACTGAATATATTCAACATTCTTCCTCCTGTTTCTAATCTCTTTTTATCCCACAGAATTTAATTTAGTATTAATATTTTTAAACTCATGATCTAAGTTTTCTTTAAAAGTTGAAAAATAAGAAAGGAGTGGTGAATGTCCCTACACTAACACAGTAACCCTAGCCCTGGAGAGTATGATGCTGGACAATGTTGAGTTTGAACCCAGAGTGAGATGTAAGTATGTCTCAAAGTACAAAAAATATGGGAAAACTATTCATTGCCAACAGAGTCTTCCCACTGTATCTACAACAGGTCTTACATGAATATCATAATATGCAGATGCTCAAATCCCTTATATAAAATGAAATGGCTGAAATACAACATACACATTACCTTCCCTGTATTTACAAATTTTCTCTAGAATACTGACAATACAGTACTCAATATAAATATGAAATACATGATGTATCATGTTGACTAGGAACTAATGTTAAAAATAGTCTATATGATCACTATAAATGCATATTTTCTAGATGTCCCTTTTCTGCAGAGTGTTGAATGTCTTTATAGACTATTTGAAGGCATACATGGCCTATAGTAGTCTCTTTGTAATAGGTTGCTCTTATCCTTAATATAAACCAAGGATCACAGAGACTTGTGATAAAGTAGTGAAATGCTCATGTACCTAGATTCTATGTACAAAGACATTTGAATCTAAATACTCACAAATCTTTTGCCAGTTTATTGCTTTTGATATTGTTGTCATTTGTATAGAATGGATATATAAAAGTTCCATACTATAAAGCAATTTGAGAATAGAAAGAGAATAAGGTATAACTTGTTTAGAGCGGTACTGAAGCCTTGATAACCAATACATTAATACTACTATTATCAGTATTCATTTTGTTGCATACTAAAACATCTTAGAAAATTTGTCACTTAAGTAGATAATAAAGCTAATATAATTTTCTTAAATTTATGTGATTTGGTATGACTTTTGAAGCTGTTTTCTGGTTTGTTAATCATCATTTAAATTGTTTCTATTACCAGAAAATATAGTATATGAAGAGTGAATGATGCCTTTAAAATGATTGAAATAATTTAGTTCTATTTAAATACAACCTCACATTCTGAAATTAGGGATGGGATCAAGCACATCTCTTTTGAATATTCATAGGCAATAAAATCCCTGGCTGTACGATTGATTTTTACAGGCAATTGAATGTTACCTTATCTCTGCATAATTGCAGCTACAGGAAACATTAGGTAGGCAATAAAAACCCCTTCAAACCTCTGACACAAGTATTTAATTGAGAAGAAAATGGGTAAGGCTCATCTTTGGATGAAAGAATATTTTGTTTATAATGGAAAATATGCTTCTCTGTCTCTAAGACAATAATGAATTAAAAACAAAGTCACAATTCTTGACTATAATTATTTTCTTTCTCTGGTCCATCAAATAACAAATCCTGACTAGATAATTAGCCAGTGAAAATATCCAAAGGAATAATACAATTGACATTTTTGGTCATTTCTCCATTGCTAAAATAATTCATAATTTCTAATCAAGTGTCTAATTCATATGCTAGAATCTTGGTTTCTAACTATCATTTGGTCAGAAGACAAAAGAATAAATATCTGGGGAATGCTGAACCCCAAATAATATATCAGCAACGCAATCTATATATGTAAACATCAGTGAAAATCATGAAAGGGGATGGAAAGATTTTAAGAACCAGAAGACCAGGATTCTTGTAGCTAGATGGTGTCACTTAGTTAAGACAGGGAAAATGTATCCACAAAATCTCAACAATATAGTTGCCTGACCAGTATAGTTGAACACCATATAACATGCAAAAATTGACAGGGAAAATTTAGCATGGTACCACTTTAGATAAAAAGTTATAGCTGCTCAATGGCTGCTGAAAGGGGGAGAATTAATCTCTTCTGTGAATGACCTCCTGCACAGAATGTCCAGTGCAAGCTGTTAGCCCAGGACAAATGTCTATAAAATGTTAAATGGATTCAGTAGGTTATATATATATACTTTGTGCAGCTACCATAGATTTGAGATAGATGAACAGAGGAAAAATTTGAGGGGGGAGCAAGTAGTGGCAGTCATGCAAACACAGTATCCATGGTTTGAAAATTATAAAAAATACATTTTAATTTACAACAGATTATTAAATACCAGTACAACAGATTTTAAAGGTATTATCTCAGACAAAATACAATTTTCAACAAAGCACCAGATATACTTATTTGCATTGTCAAATGTCAAATAACTACAAGGTTATTATTATTGGCTTAATATGTATATAATAAACAAAATCAAGACTGGTGTTTATTTTTTATTTTGCATGTATATTTAGTGATTTTATAATGATCTGTTTGATTACTGAGGTAAAAATGGAAAACACCTAATGTTAAGACTTAGGAACAGCCAGGCATGGTGGCACACACCCTTTATCCTAGCACTTTGGAGGCAGAGACAGGTAGCTCTCTATGAGTTTGAGGCCAGCCTGGTCTACAGAGCAAGTTCTAGGAAGCTAGAACTGTTATACAGAGGAACCAGTTTCTTGAACACATCCAAAATGCTTGATTACTTATAAGAAGTACACTCTCAATCCTGCTACAGACACATTGAATTAGTTATAGTATACATGTTTCATTCCTTTCAAAATTGTAATATATTTATTTATTTGCTTTCCTATGCTTGCCACAATGGAATAGGGTACACATCTATTTGTATAAAACTATTTGTTAGAAGGTATGTGCTTTTTAAAAAAAGCCTTATCATTTATTGAATCTATGTTATGTTCTTGGTTCCATACCTACTACTTTTAATGGAATATTTTATCACAGAAAATTTTTGGAATATCAATTATCACATGTGAGGATTTGGAAAACATATTACTCAGGACCACATATCCAATGAATTAGTTAGTAATTGACTTATGCAACACCCAGGTTTTATTTTTGGTCATGGTGTTTATTTGCTTTCCTATACTTGCCTTAATGGAATGGTAGGAGCCTATGTTATTTTGTTTTTCTTTGGTTAGGAAAATCATGCCATGTATGTGAATCCTCATATACAAATAAACCTTAATTATATATAGTATGGTTGTTTGAATAAGAATGGCCTCCACAGGCTCATAGATTTAAATGCTTGGTCACCAGGAACTGGGCATAGTTAAAAGGTGTGGCCTAGTTTGAGTATAAACTGAAATAAACCCTTTCTTCCACAACCTGACTTGGTCATGATTTTTCATAACCGCAATAGGAACTTTAACTATGACAGTATATTAAATCTTAGTTATAGGACTGAGCATGGTATCCATTTTTGACATGTATCAGTTCCCTGTTAAAAACCATACTATTCATATATCTCTATGTATTACTTTTCATGTATTTTAATGCATGTCAGAAGAATTCAGTCACTGCTATAAAATTTAATGCTGAACTAAACTAAAATTATTTTTCATTTTATTGGAGAACACTGTGTCTGTCATACATCTATAAAATGTAGACTAAAGAGATTTTCCACTTCTCTTCATACCTCTTCATGTAGTTCCCTCCAACGAGAATTAAATGTCTCAAGTTCCTCATTGATCAGTTCATCCATGACTCCTCCATCTGTTAGGGTCTGTGCCAATATGCGAATCTGATTTGGGTTATCCTCCGAATGCTGCATCAAATTTTCAAGAGACTGAAACACATTTTCAATAATTAATATTTCTCTTTTTTTGTAAGTACATTGAATTTACACACAAAGCTCAGTATCTTATCATTTACGTACAATTTAGAAAGCAATATAAAGCAAAATTTAATTTGTTTAATAAAATATAAAGAAGCATTACTTTTTAAAAAATTTTAGGATTACATATGATTTTTCACTGACTTATCACTACTTTATAGACTGTGCTTTTAAAAAATGACATCATTTTCTTAGTGATGGCCTCTACTTTAAAACCTGAAAAGGTGGAATGCTCAATTTCTTACTTTTTTGCTGGTTTATTTGTTTTGGTTTGATCTGGCTTTTGTTTGCTTGCTTGCTTTTGTAATGGTCAGTGGCATGCAGATAGTGATTCTTCTGAAAATGTGTGTAGTGGCATCTCATATGTCTCGTTCCTTTTAAAGAAACTCCTTTACTCTTCACATATTTTCACATTGACATCTTAGGACTGAAATTTGATAGAAATGACAATACACTCCTTCATGCTCAAAAGAAATCACCAGGTGATCTTGGTTGGACCATTGTCATTTCTGGGTAATTTTTTTTCTCGTGCATGTGCATGTGCATGTGCTTGTGCACATGCGTGTGTGCGTGCGTGCATGCGTGCGTGCGTGCGTGCGTGCATGTGTGTGTGTGTGTGTGTGTGTGTGTGTGTGTACATGTTGAGAAAAGAAGTTTTCTTTCATTTTATTTGTGGTTTTGCAGTTAAGATATTTCCCGACTTTCTATTTCTATTACAGCCTTATAATCCTTAACTGAAAAGAAAAGTTCAAAATTGACAGATTTGTCTGGAAGATTGTATAAAGAAAAATAATCTCAATGTCAGTTTTAGGGGTTCTAGGTAGTAAGCTATCCAATATCATTTCACAAGATTTTGAAACTATGTAATAAGTGATAGATACAGTGTCTAACAATTCTTTCAATGAGTTGTTGTTTCTAAAAACGTGAAACTATCCCCAGAGTTATTTGTATGTCATTTTATGCATCTAAAACTTTCCAAATTCTGAACAACTTCAATATATTTTGCTTTTCAATTTAAAGTGAATTAGAATATTATTATTTCTTAATTGTTTTGCAAAAGATATGCTTTGACATCTAAATATGTAAGAAAAACTCATCAAAATATTAATACAAAAATGTTGGTTTTTTTATATATTTCATTATGTGTAGCAAATATCTGCATTTTACAGAACTTTTAATAGAGTGATTTTCTCTTCTTAATTCCTAACGAAGTACATAACCTGTTAACTAAATAAAAGGTAAACTGATTAAATAAATGTAAACTGATTTTCCCTCTCCCAGAGTATCTTGAAGATTTAGAGGAGTGGGAGGAATATGAAAAGAATTCAATTATGGGAATCTTTAAAAGCAAGGAAAGTTAGAAGTACCACAGCTTTTCTATCCTTATTAAATACAGGTATATTTTTTTATTTAAAATGCCTGTAAGAATAATCACCAGCAACCTCATTAAACAAAAATTTACATGGAATAGTCTACAGATGGTAAATATTAATAATAAGACCTTCTCCTCCTCCTTTAATGTCACATCAGTATCCTCTGAATAGCCTACATTTCATTAGCATGCATAATTATACAAACAACTGGACAATTTTACTTTTCCAAATATATCTAACACATGTTGACCATATTTACATCCCCTCATTTCCCTCATTACACCTCCTCCTTTTCTCTTCCCTAATACTTTATCTTCCATTTTCATGTTCTGGGGCTATTTTTTATAAGCTTTCACATGTGAGAGACATACAAACAACATGAATATGCCAAATTTTTTCAAAGCATTACTTAAAATGTGGTATCAAAAGTTTAATCTGGTAGTAAGCATAGAATAAGATAATTTTCTAGGATAGCCACACCATCCCAGTCTTTATTCTGACTACTATACTTTTTACTGAAGGATGATAAGTTTTCTTTGTCTTTTCTAGAAAATGTATAATATTGTTTTTTTTTATTTTACAAGGAATGTTTGGTCAAGGAATGTTCCTGAGCAGGGCAGGATCAAAGTTAAAATTTATCTACTTCTTATTTTGCAGCCACAAAGGTGCTATAATTATTTTACAGAACTACATATACTGAATATACTAACACTATATTTATTACATGTTTATGATAATCAAAACTAAGTTAAATGTATACAACATGAATGGCTAATTACACATTGGAAGATAATTTAATTTATACTTTGCATATGCACTCATTTAACTTTTCATATTTAAAGTCTCTAAAATAAAACAAGCATGTATATCATACATTATATTCATAACATGTACTTATGTCATAAAATATTTATAAACATGAATTCAAATAGTGTTTACATGTTCTAGTTCAATAAATATATATCTTAAAACTAGCAAAAAATTCAATTAGCAAACAATTTAGCTGTACTCCAAAAGAAAATTTTATATTGAACTGTCTTTATAAGTTTGTAGTAGATTTAAGCATGCAAGTACCTAGAAATTAGGAACACAAAAAAGGAAAATATCAAAGATAAGAAGACAAGTAATTCCCTTTTAAGTCCTTGAGATCTGGAAGTATCCTAGAGGGAACAAAGAGTTTATCCAAACTGCCAGGAATGAAGGATGAAGAGTAGCTACTTCCTCTTCCTGGTATTTTAAAACATTGTTTTCTCTTAGGTATTCAAACTTTTCAGTGCTGCATATAAAGTATCATTTAGATGAATTTGCGACTTACTTGTAGCACCTCAGTGATTTCCTCAGCTCCAGCAGGAACATTTTCAGTTGTTTTAAGTTTCAATTCTAGTTCATTGAGCAACTTGTTTGCCTTCTCCAAGTATGACAATAACTCATGCCAACATGCCCAAACTTCCTAAGAAAGGAATGAATATTGCTGATTAAATATGTCCTCATAAAAGTAAGTAGAGAACCTTCATATTATAATTTTAAAACTTCTAAAAATTGAAAGTTTAATGTTCTACATTTCATTCTTACTTTACAGTAAATGAATTAAAATGCAACTAGATACTTTGGACATCTAATAACTCAGTAATTATGTCATTAAGAAAACAGTGTATTACTTGAATAAATTCAAAATCCAGTCATTTGCCTTTTAAAATTAGACATTTACATACACAACAATCTTAAAAATAGAAAAAATCAAAACATATGATAGAATGCATGTATAAGCCTAAGTTATTTAAACATTTGTTAATATTTAAATAGTAATATTCAAATTTCCCAACAAGTCTATTAAAAGATAAATAAAACATCTAGTAGACACATGAAAATGAAGCCCATTATAGTCATTAAAAGTTGGGGGAGAGCCGGGCGGTGGTGGCGCACGCCTTTAATCCCAGCACTCGGGAGGCAGAGCCAGGCGGATCTCTGTGAGTTCAAGGCCAGCCTGGTCTCCAAA